AGCGAAAATTATGCCATGCACATTAAGTGCATATAACTAGGTACACATAGACCCTTATTTGGTTATTAGTATAGGAAAGGAGAGCAAAACATGCAAGTCTTTGTGAGTTATGTGCAAGTCACGCGCTCTTTCCCCTTAATTTTAGGAATTGGGTTTTAAAAATTCCTTAAATTTTCAAATCATTTTATTTCTTAATCCGTAAATAATTAGACCAAGTGTCTTATATCATTTTGATAGTATTCGACGAAATCTATCCAACAACATCCTTCATGAATATGTTTTTCGAAACTTAAAAGAATTTATGCAGTAGCCTTGGTCTTACTAAAAGACATTCTGGTCTTATTGTGTCTTTTAGGACCAAGACCTACAGAAAAGACCAAAGGCCAAAGGCCAAAGACAAAAATTGAATACCAAAGAGCAACGATTAAAGACCAGAGTAAAGAGTGAGCATGTGTGAGGCACAACGACAAAAGCCCAAAGACCAAAGATCAAGAAACCGAAGACCAAAGAGCAAAAACCGAAGACCAAAGACTAGAGTAAAAAAGCGAGCATTGTGTGAGGAGCAAAAACCAAAGACCAAAAACTAAAGATCAAATACCAAAGACCAAAGACCGAAGGCTAACGACAAAATACCAAATACCGAATGGCTGGCCTTTTAGAGACGAAACTCAATTCTGATAAGGTGGAAGAACTAATGATGAGGAAGTGGTGTGACTATGACTATCTCAGTAATCATGGGATCAAGGAGAAGGGTAGAATACTAGTAATTAAGGGATGAATACTGTGCACCCATTGCAAATAGATCAACAATGGATGCATTACAGAGTTCAAGAAATTAGAAGCAAGAAGGAATATGAAGTAACTATGGTATATGCAACATTTCAAGCACAAGGAAGGGAGAAGCTCCGGAATGACTAAATAAAATTAGCAGGACATGTACAGCAGCCTTGGATAATCCCTGGAGACTTTAATTGCATACTGTCACCAGAGGAGAAAATCGGAGGCGCAGATGGAGTTAGTCACAGATGTTTTTAAAATGACAGTGGAGACCTGTGAATGGGAGGAGATGAAAACACAGGGAAGTAATTACACCTGGACTAACAGACAACTGGGTAGCAACAGAATTGCTTCAAAGTTGGACAGAGTATTTACAAATGAGAAATGTATGGATGTAAATCCTGAGGTTAGCTCTGGTTATGACAGCAGGTATCTCAGATTACAGCCCCCTTTTAATCAGATGGAACTGTTAGAAGGAAATCAGGAAAAAAGCATTCAAATTTTGTAACATGTGGGCATCACATGAAAAGTATAAAGAGATAGTCAAGAAAACGTGGGAAAATGAATACAAAGGAACAAGGCAATTTCAACTGATGAAGAAGCAGCAGGAACTAAAAGGAGTTCTGAAACAGTTTAGCAGAGATCACTTCAGCAAACTGGAAAACCAAGTTCACCAACTGAAGAACTCACCTCAGTCCAGAAGCAGCTAGTATCTGATCCCATGAATGAGAATCTTGAAGAACAAGAGAGGCACTTAATTAAACAGTACGTAGAGAAAACTGGAAGACAGCTCAGTTACTGGAAGCAGAAGATTAAAGTTAAGTGGACTCAAGAAGGAGATATCAACTCTAAATTTTTCCATGCCAGCATAAGGAAGAGAAGATCCCAGAACAAAATTCTTTCATTTACTAATCAGAAAGGGGAGTGGGTGGAGCAATGGAGTCAGGTACAATCACACTTCTTAAACTACTTTAAAGCGTTGTTAGGAAAAGAGATTGATAAGAAACTAGTTGTTAAGGAAGATTTTGAACCAGGGATCAAACTGTCCATAAAACAGCAGATTCTCCTGATTCAAAATTTTTCTAAAGCTGATGTTAAAAAAACTATTTTCAGTATAATGAGCAGAAAAGTCCAGGCCCTGATGGTTTTAACAGTGGGTTTTTTTTTAAAAAAAAAGTGGGGTATAGTGGGTGAGGATGTAACTGAAGCCATTTTAGAATTTTTTCGTGAACGGAAGATCCTTAAACAGTTTAATTCCACCCTGATTTCCCTTATTCCCAAAAACACAAACCCTAAAGATGCCACTGGGGCGTTTGTCAAGGGTAGATCCATTCTTCATAACATTCTCCTCACCCAAGAAATGATAAGACTATATCGTAGGAAAAAAGTCTAAGCCTAGTTGTTTACTAAAGGTTGACCTCAAAAAGGCGTTTGATTCCATTCATTGGGGGTTCATTGAGGATATGCTGCATCAGTATCACTTCCCACCTGTGTTTATTGCTTGGGTGATGGAATGTGTTACTACTTGCAGCTTCTCCTTAAATATGAATGGGAATAGTACAAGTCATTTCAATGGGAAAAGGGGACTACGGCAGGGTGACCCTATGTCCCCATTACTCTTTGTTCTTGCTACGGAATTCCTGAACAGACTGTTCAAAAATGCTTCAAGTAAAGATTTTAAGTTCCACCCCTTCCGCGAAAAACTAAGGATTACAAACCTTACTTTTGCTGATGATCTTATAATGTTGTGCTCAACAGATATAGGGACAGTGAAAAACAATTAAAGCAGTGTTAGAAGAGTTTGCAGCTGTAACTGGCTTAACTGTCAACCTTCACAAATCAAATTTGTACTTTGGGGGTGTTTCGGAGGAATTGCGAACCCAAATACAAAGAGATTTTAGGTTTTCAGGTCAGTAGATTTCCCATTAGATACCTTGGTGCTCCAATATCTCCCACAACTTGGACCAAAGAGGACTGCCAGCAGGTAGTTGAAAAGATAGTGGCAAGAATAAGATGTTGGTCTTCAAGTCATCTTTCTTATGCTGGCAGGCTTGTTCTTGTTAACTCTGTCCTAATGAGTCTTCACTCATATTGGTCTGGAACCTTCATGCTCCCCCAGTCTGTAATACAACAAATAGAGAGATGTTGCAGAGAGTTTCTTTGGGAAAAATCAACAAATGGTAGAAGCAGATCACTGGTTGGTTGGGAAGTACTTTGCAGGAAAAAATGTGAAGGAGGACTCAATATTAAAAGGCCAGGAATTTAGAACAAAGCCTTAGTGGGAAAACAGATTTGGGATATAGCCAATGGTGAAGAAAGTCTCTGGATTCAGTGGGTTCACATATACTACCTGAAAAGGAAGAATATCTGGGATTATGTGCCACCAAATGATACTAGCTAGCATTGGAAAAATCTGATGGCAATCAAAGTAGAACTTCAATCAGGAGTCCAACAAAGCAAATGGACGAAGAATGGAGGAAAAATCTATTCTGCAAGAAGTGTTTACAAATGGCTGATAGGGGAGCAAGCTAAGGATAAGGGATCAAGGTTGATTTGGAACTCATATTCAATGCCAAAGCATAACTTCCTTGCTTGGTTGGCAGCAAAGGACGGACTCTACACTCAAGAAAGATTGCAGAAGATGAACCTGTTAACTGATGCAATCTACTGTGAGCTGTGTGCAGGACAGGAAGAAAGCTGTGACCATCTTTTCTTTCGGTGTCCTTATTCTCAGGAACTAATTGAAACAATAAAAACTTGGCTGGGGATCAGGTTGACTCTGACAAGCTTGAGAAGGAACAGGTTGCTTAAGTTTTGGAAGGGGAAAAGGGTCAAGCAAAGGCTGCTGTTTTCAGCAGTCAATGCAGCAGTGTACCATATCTGGGCAGAAAGAAATGCCAGGAAATTCAGGCAAGAAGCAGTGACAGTGGCAGAAAGGTTTGGAATGATTAAGGCTGAGCTGACATGGAGGATGCAATATAGAGGCCAAAAATTCAGCATAGTAGATAAACAATTTTGTATTTCTGTTGGTATAGATCAATAGCTTTTAAGTTTATGTTAATGTAACAGTTCACAGCTTGTACAGAAGGTTTGAAAAGCAATGAAATTCACCTTTTTTCCCAAAAAAAAATAAAACTTGCCCCTTTTTCTTTTTTTTTTCATTTTTTTTAAATTCATATTATGGTAGAACTTTCAATTCTTGTCACTATGATAGTGGCATCTATAGAAGCATAAAAACATCCATGCAACTGTGAGTGTGTTAGTAAAATGCAAAAAAAAAATAATAATTATTACTTATACATTTGAACATTCGAACAAATAACTTGCATGTATAAACACTCAAAATATGGAGAAAAAGCATAACAAACTAAATTAATCCAAAATTTAAAATAAATTAATACCAAAACATAATATTCATAATACAAAGGATATGAGAGATGAAAAAAATATTTAAAAAATATTCAAATTATTTTCAATTTAAATAAGTTTTACTCGTTTTAGTTTAAAATTGAAATATCATCATTAAAAAAAATGAAATGGAATCATACACATTGTGCTCACTTAACTGGAGAGTAAACTTTATGATTCCTCTTCATGGAAATAGGAAGCCAAAGAGAGATTAGACATTAGGGAGAAAATCTAAGTACAAAAGGAAAGTAACATCAACAGAAAGAGTTCTATTTAAAGTGTGAAAAATCATAGAGAACAAAAGTGAGAATAGAAAATGGAATTAATGAAAAAGAAGATGAAACAAAACTTGTAACTCCAGGGATTAGAAGAATCCAATAATAAATGAAATAATGAAACCATTATTATAGGATTGAAAGAAAAATAAAGAATTACATTAAGTACAAACCATTATTAGGAGATTGAATGAAAAATAAAAAATTATAATAATGATAGTAAATTAAGGAAACAGAAAAAATTGAACATAGAAGGAGAAGAAGAGACTTATAAATGTGATGGTATATTACCAAAATTTGTCTAAACTCACTATTTATATATATAGTAGATGAATGTTCTGTAATCTAATAGTGGAAGGGAGATCAAAAGTTCAATATATTGTTTGATGATAACTGATAATTTATTATCATGAAATTAGATAGAAAATAATTTATTATCATAAAAATAGAGATAATAGGCAATAAGTGAATAATTATTAATTAAAAAATTGGAGAATTTTTTTTCAAATATATTTTTAACAAAATTAAACTATGGACTACTAAAATGAATTACTAATGCATAAAAAATATCAAAATCAAAGTTAATGCACAACTTTTTTCCATAGGATATACAAATCTAATTTTTGTCTGTTCAAAGATTCATGTACAGAGCTTCTTTTCTCATTCAATTTAAAAAATGTGTCCGTCTCTCAAACACTCAAAGAGAGGTGGAGTCCGGAACAAAATGCAAGAAGTACTGTATCTAGGCTTGAAAAATCTACTGCAGGAGTACTGTATCTAGGCTTGAAGAATCTACTGCAGGAACCTGCCTCTAAATTTTTCCTTCCCTTCAGCCATGTAGACAGATCTTTATGTACACAGTATATTTTCGAGCAAGAATCAACATTAATCCAACCAAACGAAGGTGGCGGCATGATATTTCTAACACATCAGAAGAAGTGCTTCGCGGTTGCGGCCAAGCAGACTTAGTGCTGTTGCCGCAATGTGGTTACTACTCAATCCTGCCACAGCAAGTTGTTCCTCAGCTGATGCATGCTCGATATAGGTGTCTGGTAGAGTAATTGGTCGCCACTGGATATCAAGTTATAAATGGCTCATAAGAAAGGGTAGTATGGTGACGAGGGATTAGCAAATACAGGAAAAGCATGGTCATCGATAACTATGAATGGATGCAACAGAACTTCAACCTTTAAAAACCTATCGAGCTGTAAAGCTAAAAACACAAATAGTTTTGCAGTATGCTTGCAGGGATCTGGAGAGAGTTGTCCATATGGGTCTAGACGTTGCTACATGTGAGAAGAGAAGCTATCACAAAGATATAGATCTTTAAAAATACGGTTGTAACATAGGACTGATAAAATGAAATCCCAGACAGAGGTTTACCAACCAATCAATGTGCCGTTAACGAAAAGTTACCTTAGTTCCTGCATCTAGCTGTCCGTCAAGCGAAAGAAACTGCGCCACATGCGATCCAAATCCTCCAATTGAACTCTCCTCAACAGTAACCAAGAAAACATGATTTTTACACAAACTTCTGACAAGGTCAATGTCAAGTGGCTTGCAGAATCTTGCATCAGCAACAGTTACTTCGACACCAAGTTCTGAGAGAAGTGACTGAGCCCTAAGGCAATTCTGTACCATAGAGCCATAGGCAAGTAACGCAATGTCTTTTCCTTCTACCAAGACTCTTCCTTTACCTATCTGCTTCACAGAGAAGGCCCAAAGAAAGAAAGAGATGATCATAAGAGACGAGAGTATTAGAACGTAAAAGAGAGTCAAAGGAAGCAGGAATACAAATGCAAGATACGCCAGAATTAAAAAAATGAATAGCTCAAGAAATCTGCATTGACTTCAACTTCCACTGACCTAGAAATAACCATATCATCAGACAAGATCTTAAATACAATAAAATGTTAAGCAACCCCATGATGAATGCTAACCTCAATCAACGATACACAACCAGAACTGAAGACAAAATAGTGTGTGGATATTGCCACCCATTGTTACTACCTACTAAAAACTAAAGTTCTTGTCAGACTTGAGGCCTAAAGAATGGGACTAAATCATATATTGCTGATGTTTGGGTGCTTTGCTACTGTTACATCAGACTTGAGGCCTAAAGTATGGCACCAAAGGGATCTAAGCTTTGTAAAAGTGTTAAATGCAAATAAACCAAAACAGTAGGTTACGGCTACAATCGAAGACATATCTGCTGCTAAATGGACTTTGGTTCAACATTATAAAACTGAAACCGAGAAATTATTAAATTAATAGCATCAGCAAAAGATGTACCTCGATCGGTACTCCACATGAAATAGAATCTCTTATAGCAGCAACTGCACCCTTAGGGTAACGTAAACAAACAGGCCTATCATCAATCTGAGCGGCAGTTGCCACCATATTAGCTAGTTCAACCTCATCTGAAGGCGCCATGACAACCATGTTTGGCAAACATGACATGAACGTAACGTCAAATGCCCCACATTGTGTTGGACCATCAGATCCGACTAATCCTGCTCTTGAAATAATAAAACGGACTGGAATCTTCTGACGGTCCACATCATGAACTACCTTTACATGAAACAACCAAGGAAAACCAGTTAATTATATTCTTCATGTGATTCGGAAAGAAACAGTGGAAGTTGATTGCTCGTTTATGGGATGACAACAATATCTAATCGTAATCTTTCACAACATACAACATCGCATGCATGGCCATAAGCAGTCAAATTATACATGGGATATGTCAGAGGAAGAACCTGGTCATAAGCTCTCTGAAGAAAGGTGGATGGAATTATACAGAATGGCTTCAAGCCCCCGCATGAGAGGCCAGCTGAGAATGTTACAGCATGCTGCTCAGCCATTCCAACATCAAAGAACCTATCAGGAAAATTACACTTGAATAAGTCAAGAGATGGATCCATTCCCTTCCCTGCATGAACAGCAACGATATTCTTGTCTCTCTGGGCCTCAGAAACCAGTGCCTCAACAAAACATTCACCAAGAGTCGGAGGCCGGACCCTTTGGTGGGAATTCGAAACTGATGTAGTTTGACTGCGTTTCATTTCTACAAGTTGATCTTCCTTAGTTATGACATGGACCAAAACAGGACCCATAGAATCCAAGGATGCCACTTCAGTCAGAACACATATAAGGTCATCAATATTGTGTCCATCTACAGGTCCAATGTAGTACAATCCAAGTTCTTCAAAAAGAGTCGATCCTGCCGGACCCAAGAGACCACGTGCATATTCATCAATCTTGGCAGCCCACTCATGCATGCCCCTGCCAAATTGCTTAGTTAAAGCCTGTAACAAGCATCCACTATTGAGACTCTGGAAAACTTTGTTTTGAAGAACATGACAAGCTGATTAACCTTAATACAACCCCATCTAATGATAACTCTCAAATGTTTCAAACCGAACTAAGCAAACTTAACACAAGCACATGTAGTGATAACTCTCAAAAGCTTAAACTTTAACTAGAAAAAAAATACATTCACAAGAGTTGCAAAATTGTCTAACAAGCATACTGGATGCATAACAGGTAAAGTTTCTTTATTAAAAATATGGAAGTATTGAGGGACCTCAATTGTTGTGTATTGCAACGAAAAAAAATGAAGGAATGATCACTTTAAAGTATTGATTTCCAAGGTGAACATGCCAAGCAAGAGGATCAAGTAGCTTTAAATCTAAAGAACACTAGTTTCTTCAGTAATCTTGTGAAGGAACCAAAAAACCAAGAGTAACCATAACTGTCTATACATCCTGACTTCTCCAGCTCAAAATAAATGAATAACAGACATTCACCTACAAATATATTCTTATATGATTTTCATTTATTCTCCAGGACGACTACTTTACATGGGCATTCATATTTTGAACCTAGAACTTATCAAATTAGCCAATGTTGGACACGTAAAGTTCTGAATAACGTGAAAAAAAGAAGAAGAAAATCATTGACTGAGAGTTAACTTAAGTCAAAAGATGAACATATAATGTCAATAAATAAATTACCTTCGCAAATTCTCTAACTCTCCTGAAGAGTTTACTTGACTGGAGCTTGCTTAGAGTAGTAGATAAAGCATTAATTGGAGTTGCAGAGGTATCCTCAATCTTTGGATGCAAGGAGTTCAGACTATCATTTAATATAACAACCATATTCGAGTCCAAGTAACCTGCATTGCTCATTGCCTCATAAACCTGGCCAGCCATAGTGGTTTCATTGCTAATGACTGCAACAATGCGGTCTCGCTTCCCTTTGATGTCTCGAGCCACTGCCATCCCTGACATATTATCATACAGTGTATTATTAAGATAACCATCAAGGTTCAAATAATTCATTTTGCTAAGGATAATTCATATCTCAAATAATTCATTTTGTTAAGGATCCTGACGAATGAAGTATCATTCATTCATATCAATTAGTTCCCCACATCACTGAATCGGAAAAGCTTCTTCCATTAATTAGGGAAATGAGGATATCTTACCAAGCCCAGCTGATATACTACTGCATCCATGACCTGCTCCAATCGGGTCATACATGCTCTCTATATGACTTTTCCCATTTGATAAAGTAGTTATTTGTTTAACTAAATGCTTGAGAGACCTCCTACCAGTAAGAAGCTTATGAGGATACGTCTGTTTCGAATCACAACGAAAGAAAAAGAGAAACCATATGATATCTGAATCAGGAAATCCTACAATTACGAAATATTCAACCTTGGGACCAAAATGGTTTCTCTTTTATGATGTATAACTTACATGTTCCTCCATATCCCACAATATTTTATCCACAGGTGAGCGGAACACGTAATGAATAGCCACTGTCAGCTCTGCCACTGCCAGACTAGCTCTAAAGGGTTTCTGAGTTTCTGACATGATTAATGATAACTCAGTTCGAATATCATCGGCTAATTGTTTCAGCTCCTGCATATGGTGCAGCTCCTGAGCCAAGCATTTCCAAAATTTATGAATTCTAAAGAATAAAGATTCTGATTAGTACCTTTGATGACAAATTCTTCAGGTGCATTGGACTCTCTATTGTATCAAGTATAGGTGTTGAGACCTTCCCGTCATCAGGAACAGCCCTTATTCGACAATTACATCCCTGTAACAAGAAATTTCAACAGTAATCCGTCATTTTAAATGACTGAGCAAACCTTAAGTAGGTTTATAACAAGTAATAAGGATAAGCTTAAATTGTATGGTGAGTTCCGGTCAAGAGCTCAGAGTCACTAATCATATACTACAGCAACATGGGCGGAAATCATAGAATCGGCAAACAACGGCCAATGCTTATCGATGTATGCCCATACATAAACTCAGAAAGTTGTTTCTTTTACATAGGACTCTGCTTTATTTTTGTTATTCCTTATTCCAGCTAAAAACCATAGACACGATCCTTTCACATTACATAAGTTCCGGTAACCACACACAAAAAAAAAAAAAGAAAAAGAAAAAGACAAACTACAATGTTTCATTACCTTTTGCAGCTGCTTAATTGATTTTACATACTAAAAAAAGTCAGCTTCTTCAAGCCATACTAAAAAAGAAACACCGAACACAAGCGCCTAAAAGGACAGATTCTTCAAGCCATACTAAAAAAGAAACACCGAACACAAGCGCCTAAAAGGACAGCTTCTTCAAGCTTTCTTAAAGGAGTTAATGAAGCAAAAACTCCGACAGACGTTCTCACAAAAACACCATCGCCTGATCGATCAAACTCCAAACCACCATCTAAAACATAATTTCCTAATAGTGGGTCATACTTCCAAACACAATCCCACAAAAAAACAAATCATTCAAGACAAACAATTAACCAATTTCATATGTTTCAATCAGTAACTCGACCAATATGATCCAGTACACAATTTTTCAAATTGAAGCTTATTATGAAAAGATCATCACCTTATGAGTAGAGATGATTGCAGCAGAGCTTGCCGGAGATCGCAGCCTGGGAATTTTCAAACTGGAGGAAAATTTCGCAGTGGACAGCTCAAAATTTGGAGATGAACATCTTGAATTTAGAGTGAAACGAGCACTCACTCCAAAAGTAAGCTCAAATGTTGCAGAACCCATGATCGAAAAATAACAGAGATTCTTTAACCCACGAAATCTATGGAGCGAAACTGATGATATCAACCATAAATCATCGTTCAACAATTTTATCGAAGGAATAGAATCGCATAGAACTTTTTCTCCATCGGCAAACAGAGCACGGATTAAAGACTGAGAATATGGATGGAGGGTTCTGGTCCTTCTGGATAGATTTCACCAGTAGTAGGACCGACCAGAGAAATTAAATTCTTAATAAAATGAATAGTTTTTTTTTTAATCTTACTCCAAAGAATCTGATTCCAATAAATTTTGATTTTCTATGTTTGGATTTTTTTCAGATTTTGAATACTGCACTTGTGAAATTTCAATAGTCGTTTAAGTTGGTCTATTGTAAGTTTTGTTAAATTTTGTCTGAATCTTAGGTAAAAATGACTCACAAGTATTTTTTACAAGAATTTGTTTGAATTCAATACTAGATGTTAAACCCGCACGTTGTGCTGGGTAAATAAATTTTAAATTTATTTTTTTACTAAAAATATTTTTAAGAAAAAAACAAACATAATGAACAATCTTAAATGTTTAATTTCGATGTTAATTGAGGAAACACTATGTGACATATTAAATAATTCACGTGGACCTAATACAAATATGTAAAATGCAAAAATAAAATTTATCAAGAAGTAAAGGTAAAGGCAAAGTTGATCAGAATTTGAATAAAAGAGCGGCATTAGGATAAAAATTTTATTTATTATATATACAACTTTGTTTTCTCTCTGATTTAATTTGGGATTAAGGTTAATTTATGGGCATTGTTGTTTTATTCCATTAATTGTGTCTAAACGTTATTGGTCACCTTGTTTTAGAGTGATCCCAAATGGTAATTGGACTATTATGCTCAAAGGCAATCGATCATGGAAATATGTCATAGAGTAAAACTCTGTATATCCACCCTAATTATAAAATGTTATCAAAATTATTGTGTTAAAATTGGTTCCTAATTTTTCGTTTTTTTTAAAAAAGTCATATTTTTAGGGATTTACTTAACTATTATCATATAAGATGAACCTAATTTAGTGTTTAATTTAACATAAAATTCAAGGGTATTAACACAATTTCCATAACTTATTTTTTTGAGAACACATGAAATAATTACACATAGGATTTTATCCTAGTTGTCACTCTAAATATGAAACTTAGTTTCTCTCTCTGGTTTTTCTATTAGTAATATATATAGATATAGATATAGATAGATAGATATATAGATAGATAGATTGCTTAAACGAAAATTAATCAATATGCTCTAGACTAAAGTTAAGTTCGAAAACATATATATATATATATATATATATATATAGGTAAATTGTGAATTTCATTCCATTTTGAAAAACCAAATGTACAATGTATGATCAAGCTATCAATATACCCAGACTATCCAGAAATCGAACATCATCTCTACTATCATTTCTATACAAATGAACTATTCTTCATTTCACCTCTTGCTGCATTCTTATTGCTCTTGCCTCAATTAACTCTTCTTTCTACTGAAACAGTCTCATATTCCTTTCACTCCAAGTATGATACATTACAGCCTTCAAGCAGGCAAATAATACTTTGCTTTTAACAGCCTTATATTTCCACATGTGCAGCAGTCTTGCAGCATTCAGGTTCTTGATTGCAGTTCTGACTCCTAACCACATATTGATCAGTGTCATTAATTCCTGAGTATAGGAACATTTGAAGAACAAGTGACTAACTGTTTCATCCTCTTCCTTACACAAATTGCAATTCTGATCATTGACAGTAATCTTCATATTCCTCAGTCTGTCTTTAGTGAGCAGCCTCTCTCTCCATGTTAAACACGAGACAAAACTGTGCTTTGAAATAGAGAACTTACTCCAACAGATTGTTGCTGGTTTGAACTTTTTTCTGTTCTCTCTGATCCATTTATAGCCACTTCTTGTATCATATGGTTTTCCAGCATTTCCTGTCCATTGTCCATTCACCACTACACCTTTCAGATCATCTTAAGCTTCATCAACTTCCTCCAATGCTAGCTATAGTCTTGTGGAGGATCATAATTCCAAATGCTTCTACCTTTTTAGTAGATATGCATCCATCTGATCCAAAGATTGTCCTTCTTTAACTCCAAATCCCATAATTTTTTACCCAACAAAGCTTTGTTCCAAGCACTAGACTCTTTGATATTCAGTCCTCCTTCTATCCTTCTACAGCAGAGATCATTCCATGCTACTAAAGGAAGACATTTGCCTGATTCTTTTGTTCCCCATAAGAACTTCCTACAACAAGAATTTATTTGTGCTATAACAGACTGTGGAATGAGGAAAATGCTTGCCCAATAGCTATGGGGTGTCATCCGAATAGCATTGATTAATACTGTTCTTCCTACATAAGAAAGGTGCCTAGATTTCCAACATTTGATCCTGGCAGTTACCTTGTCAAGCAAGTACTGGCAATCTGCTTTATTCAATGAAGTTAGAGCCACAGGAAGCCCTAAATACTTCATTGGAAAGGTCCCCATATCAAATTCCATCAACTGTCTGACCATCATCTGTACGTTAAAACCTGATCCACCAAAGTACAGATCATACTTCCCTTCATTTATCCTAAGGGCAATGGTGCTTGCAAAATGTTCCAAAGTGGCTTTAACCTTCCTAATAGTTCTTATCTCAGCTCCATAGAATATTATTAAATCATCAGCAAAGCTTAATGATGTGACTTCAGCTCCTCACAGTAAGGATGTTTAACAAAACCATTCTTATTTGCCTCCATTTTCAAACATCTTGTGAGATACTCCATTACCAATACAAATAGTAATAGAGACAAGGGATATCCTAATCTCAGTCTTCTTTGACCTTGAAAGTAACCAACACTATTTCCATTTAGATTGAATGAGTAAGTAGATGATGTAACACACTCCATGATCCACTATCTGAATCTTGATGGAACCTGATATTCCTGTAGCATTTCTTCTAGAAACTCCCAATGGACTGAATCATAAGCCTTTCTTAGATCAACCTTCATCATGCAAGATGGCTTAGCTGATTTCCTGTTATAGAGCTTGATTAATTCTTGGGCCAACAAGACACTGTGCAGTATCGATCTATCTTTCACAAAAGCTCCTTGGTTACTATCCACTAAGTCTAGCAGAATAAGGCTCAATCTTTTACAAATCATCATGAAGATGCATTTATATATAGTGTTGCAGCATGAGATTGGTCTGTATTCTGTGGCATTCCTTGGACTCTCATTCTTAGGTATTAATTCAATAATGGTTGGGTTGATCTGCTTCAACAGTTTCCCATTCTTGAAGAATTCAAGCACAGCTACACTGAAATCATCTCCCACTACATTCTAAGCCTTCTTATAAAATCCACTGCTGAAACCATCAGGAGCTGAACTTTTGTTTTCATTAGTGCTAAAAAGAGCTTCTTTAACATCTGATTTGGTGAAATCTTTATTCAGGAAAAGCTGCTGGTATATGGTTAGTTTGCTCCCTGAATTAAAGACATCACTATTAGCAGTGGTTCTTGCAACCTTTTTACCCAACAGCTCTTTATAGTAACTTATAAAATGTTCTTCCACTTTGGACTGCTCTTCCACCAATTCCCCAGAGTCTAACACATAATATTTGATTCTGTTTCTATTCATGTTTTGCCTGATTGCTGCATGGAAGTACTTGGTATTCATATCACCATCACATATCCACTTCTCTTTCAATTTTTGAGCCCAAAAACTAATGACAGCTTTTGATGCAAAGATATAATCAAGAACAACTTCTCTTTCTAATTTTTGTATCTCTTCATTCAGTGGGTCCTGCTTTAAAGTCTCCATAGCCTTTTCCATCTGTATTCTGCATTCTTGCTCCTCTTCTATGTTAGCAAAATTCCTCTTGTTAAAACTTCTGAGTATTGGTTTCAACAGTTTCTGTTTTCTCACTAGTTGAATTTTTTTAGTGCTTTCAACTTCTATTTTCCACTCCTAATCAAATGTTGTGATGAGCTCTGGATGTTGTGCCCACATGTTGAAGTATCTAAATGATTTCTTACATTGCTAAGTTGCTTCTCCCCCATCTGATTAAAAGAGCATTATGATATGAAATTCCAGCAGGCATTATTGTACAATATGCATCAGGGAATTTTTGCATCCAATGATCATTAACATTATTTTTAGTGCTTTCAACTTCTATTTTCCACCCCTAATCAAATGTTTTGATGAGCTCTGGATGTTGTGCCCACATGTTAAAGTATCTAAATGATTTCTTACATTGCTAAGTTGCTTCTCCCCCATCTGATTAAAAGAGCATTATGATATAAAATTCCAGCAGGCATTATTGTACAATATGCATCAGGGAATTTTTGCATCCAATGATCATTAACATTATTTTTAGTGCTTTCAACTTCTATTTTCCACCCCTAATCAAATGTTGTGGCTCTGGATGTTGTGCCCACATGTTGAAGTATCTAAATGATTTCTTACATTGCTAAGTTGCTTCTCCCCCATCTGATTAAAAGAGCATTATGATATGAAATTCCAGCAGGCATTATTGTACAATATGCATCAGGGAGTTTTTGCATCCAATGATCATTAACAAATACTCTATCCAGCTTGGAAAAGATTCTTAGTTGACCAATTTGCTTATTTGTCCATGTAAATCTACCACCATAAGTTTGCATTTCCCATGATTCATTATCTTCTACCATCTCATTAACTCCTCCAATTTTGTCTTCTTTCTGCATTATGCAGTTAAAGTCTCCTATGATGATCCACTCTCCTACCATATTTGTGGTGAGCTGTCTTAATTCATTCCACACATTTGCCCTTCTTTGAGCAGTGTATTCTGTATACACTATGGTCAGGTAAAACTCTTTTGTACCACCAATCTCCTTCTTATAACAGTGGACATATTATTGAGTTATATATTCCACCCTGATAGTATATGCACCTTTTTTTTTTCCATATAACTAGTATTCTCCCCTTATTTCCTCCTTCACTATTCTCCACATAGTCATACTGACTCCATTTCCTCTTCATCAGCTCCTCAACCCTCTCCTTATTCAATTTGGTTTTCAGCAATCCAACAATGCCAACATTATTCACAGAGAGAAAATTTCCAATCTCTCTGGGTTTCAGGGGACTATTGAGTCCCCTTATATTCCATGAAGTGATGTTATTCATTGTTACTAAGCCCTGGATCAGGATGACTAGAAACTGAATAACAAATACTATTTTACTGACTTTATTTTTTCACAAATTCTACCTTCATTCACCTTGCAACCTTTCTGATTCAATATCTGTATCCCTTCTTCAGGTTTCTTCACACCCTTCATTTGCTCTATTGTTGGACTTTTTGTTG